CTGCTGTCTTCCCACATGGGCTCAATGCCATCCTGGGAGGCAGGCTGGCAGATCAACTACCTCCCTTTGTTCAGAGGAAAGTGAGGGCCTGGCCACCTCCCCAAGTCCTGCTCTAGCCCCTCAGTAGGCATCCACAGGCCAGGACCTTTCTGCCTTCATCCCTCCTGTACAAGCAGGTTCTACCAGCCATTCAGCCCCCCAGACCCTCCTGTGAGTTCCCATGGGCCCCTAAGCCTCAACATCTGTCACCTCACATAGGCTTGTGTGGGTGTAGTGTTTATCTCCTTTACTGAGCCAAGTTCCTTGATGAGAGTTCAAATGGAGGTGATTAAGAAAGCATCTGGGGAGGGGCTTCCCTGGTGGCGCAGTGGTTGAGAGTCCATCTGCCGATGCTAGGGGACAAGTGTTCGTGCCCCGGTCCGGGAAGATCCCACATGCCGCAGAGCGGCTAGGCCCGTGAGCCATGGCTGCTGAGCCTGCGCGTCCGGAGCCTGTGCTCCGCAACAGGAGAGGCCCGCGGACCGCAAAAAAAAAAAAAAAAAAAAAAAAAGAAAGAAAGCATCTGGGGCAACCCCAGTGTGGCCAAAGGCAGACATCCCAGACTCAGCTGCTGGAAACAAGTCACCTACGGAAAATCTTTAAATGCTGATGTCAGGGCCCCACTGCACAGCACCTCCAGGGACAGGCTGGATATTGATGAGTGTCCTGGGGCAATTCTGATGCACGTCCCCAGTTAAGGAGCCAGGCCAGAAACTTAGACTCCTTCCTAGTTCCCCCTTCTTCCCCCTCCCCTGTCCTTCAAGGTACAGCTCAGGTCTGACACTCTGTCCATGCTTCTGCAGAGCGGTCCTCCGTTCTGAAATTATACTTGACTCTGAGGGAGGCTGTCCTTGGCACCCCACCCCCAAACCCCCTGTGAGGGAGGAAGCTGGGAAGAATCAGCCCCCCTGTGCCCTGGGGATGGGGTGGGGGTGGGGCAGGGAAGCAGGCTTACCTTGAACAGGGCGTAGTCACAGCCGGAAGAGAGCTTACTGGCCAGCTGGATGTTATTGTACATCCTGGAGAGAGGCCCCCACCCCAGGCTGAAAGTCCAGGCTTTTTAGAGCCTGGTTCCAACTGGCCTCAGACCCCCTCAATCTCTTACCAGACCCCACTGCTTTCCACCCAGCTTCCAGCCTCCAAGCCTTTGCTCATACTGGTGCCCCCTGCCAGGAATTCCATCCCCACTTGCCCAGACCTTCAAATCCCACCTTCTCACCCACCTCTAGGGTTTGTGAAGCACCTTTCAGATCTCCTCACTGAATCACCACAGACACTGAGACAGCCTTAAAACTCACTTTGTGGCTGAGACAAGCTCAGAGAGGGGCAGGAACTTGCCCAGGGTCACAAAGCATGGAGCAGCAGAGTCAGGGTCAACTCCTTGTTTCTCCCACTTCCCAGGCTCTCTCCTTGGGTCCCAAGGAGGCTTCAGGGGGGGATGTGCCCCAGCCCAATCCCCCCACCACCTCCTTGCAGAACCCACCAAGCCCCAGTCCTCAGCAGATGCTGCAAGGCCCCAGGGAACACTGGGAAAGCTGTGTAGAAAGCAGCTCCCTGGAGGGGTGGGGTCTGCGAAGGATCCCCAGCCCGGAACCCCGTGGCCCCAGCCTCCTCCATGAGGGACAGACACTCACGCCCAGAAGTCCTCCACGGTGTCAAACTTGATGACCAGATGCAGGTTGTCCTGCCAGGCCCTGCTGCGGTCATTCTTGAAGAACCACAGAGCCCACCTGGAGGAGGGCAGGCCAGGAGGAAGCAGAGTGCACCCACCTGCCCGCCCCCCAGCAGCAGCTAGGTTGGCAGGGAAGCCCTGTTCCTCCAAGGGCAAACAGGGAGATAGGATTTGGGGCACAGGCCGCCCAAGGTGGCTGGAGCCAGTTATCCTGAAGGGCCAGGGCATAAGTGAGGGCCTTTAACCCAGAATCTCAGCTGGGTTAAGGCTGGAAGGGCCACCAGAGCCCAAGCCTTAGGCCAGCTCTGGCCGTTCCCAGATGAGGAAGTGATTCCAAGGCCAAGAGTAGGGCCTACCTGTTCAGCAGCGGGTGCAACTCCAACTTGCTCTCCACGGGGCCCTCGGCCCGGGCCTCCCTCAGAGCCTCCTCACCCACCCACATCCCCGCTGCTGCCTCCTCTTCCTCTTCCTCCTCCTTCTCTTTCTTCCACTTTTGGATTCCACCCTTAGCCTCTTTGGCCTGACCAAAGAAAGAAGTCAAGGTGGGCGGTGAGCCCCAGCCTTCGCTGCCCAAGGAGGCGGGCGGGTGGACTTACAAAGCGCTCAGTAGCCATGCTACAGCCTGGACTCCACGGGCACCCCCAGCTGCCAGCCTTTAACCCACCATCGTCCCGCCCCGCTCACCCAGGACAGGGGACTGGGAGGAGCCAGCATAGGGGTGGGGGAGTTGGGTGTTCAGAGGGGGAAGGGCTTACACTATTACTTCCATCAGCAAATATTTAGTGAGCACCTGCATGCAGCCCGGGGGGCTGGGAACACAGCTGTGACCAGGCAGACCTAGCCTCCGCCCACATGGTGCTGGCCATCTGGGGGCTGAGACACGATGGTAAGGGTCAGTATTAGGGGTCTGCCCTTAGTGAAACCGCATCCCGCCAAGGGTGGACGCTGAATTTAAAGCGGACCGTCCCAGACATGGCAGAAGCTGCGACTCTGACATGGGGGAGGGGGGCAGGGCGGGGCCTGGTCAGAGACCTTATACACACATTGTGGTGTCTCTTTTTTGGCTCTGCTGTCGTTCACCCCCTCGATTTCACCATCAATGTCATCTGACACAGGCATTTATCTGGTCTCTGGAAGCACCTAAGGGTTTTCTTTCTAATGTGATTATTTAGAAACAAGGGGGATATAAAAAACCCACATTTTTGGTTGCTCTTGAAATTTTAGAGAGGTCTGGCAACACCGGGGCCTCCTTCTCCCAGTCTGCTACAGCTGACGCTGCCTTAGGGAAGAGCAAATGAGGTTCCACACAGGCCCGCCGACCCACTGCACTCCTACCTCCTGGGCCATCTGAGTGTTCTCCACGTGGGCATGGATGGCGAGGGCCAGTGCACTTATCATACAGCCTGGGTTCAAGTCCTCCCTGCCCTGACCTCAGCCAAGTACCTGAACCTCACTGAGTCTCAGTTTCCCTGTCTATAAAATGGGAATGTTAATGATACGCAACGCAGAAGCTTAGGTATTAAATGATATAAAACACGTAAAGCCCACAAAACAAGGCCTGGCTCAGTGGTCAATAGCAATCAGCTGAGGGCTACCCCAGGGTGGAGGAGGGACTGGGGAGGTGAGGGAGGGAGGGAAAGCTCTGGCTGGGGAGATCCTTTCCCTGCCTTCTGAACAGCAGCCTTTTCTGCAGGGGCTGAACGCTCCCCAAACTTCTTAAGGTTTCTCACCCCTTGTCCACTTTGAGGGTCCCAGCTCTGTAAGGGACCAGTCCCTTCCCCTCCCCCACAGCCAGAGAAGCCCATGACCACCTGGAGGCCGACAGTTAATATCTGTTCAACCCACATCCCTAAGCTTCAGGGTGTGCCAGGCCTAGGCCTGGGAGGCAGTGAGGAGCAGAAGATGAGTGTCCCCTGTGCTCTGGTCTATCAGGGGAGCCAGGCATCAGGTAATCTCACAAAGACCTGTGTCATCGTCAATGCAGACCTCTGAAGGAGAGGAATTCACAGATGGGAGAAGACAAAATCCATGACCTGCAATGAGGGCTTTAGAGCAGCACTTCTCAAGAGCATGAATCAGAATCACCTGCAGGGCTTGTTAAACACGGACCACTGGGCTCTGCCTCCCAATTTCTGATGCCTTAGCACAGGGCTTGGGCCTGAGAATTGGCATTTCTAACAAGTTCCCTGATGATGCTGGTCAGAGACCCCATTTCAAGAACCACCGACTCAGAGGCAGTTCACAGAAGAGGTGACATTTGAGCAAGCATTAACTAGGTAAGTGGAGGAGGGCATCTCGGGGAGTGGAAGCAGCACGTGCAGAGGCTCTGGGGCAAAGGGCCTGTGAGGCACTGGAGGAAGAGAAGAAAGACCACCACTGTCGCTGATGCCTAAAGGGGGCAAGGATGGTGAGTCTTGATCTTAGGAGAGTGGAGAGCCATTGGGTGCTTCAAGTGGGTACAGAGGGGCTGGGGAGGTAATTGGATGGGCTTTCTAGCAAGTTCTCTGGCTGCTGTGTAGGAAACAGACCCTGTGCAATTAAGAGCGAGTGGGAGATCTACTTGGATGCTGATGTAGCTGTCCAGGTCACAAACGGGGTGGCAGGGAAGATGAAGAGAACATGTATTTAGAAGGAAGACTCAGTAGTGCTTGGTGGTGGATAGGCTCTGGAGAGGTGGGCATGGAGTCCCAGCTACCTGTTGCTGCATAACGAACCACCCCAAACAGAGCGGCCTAAAACTATAATAATCATTTATTTTGCTCACAGATTTGCCATTTGGGTGGCACTCGATAGGGATGGCCTATCTCTACTCCAAAGCCCTATCGGTTGGAGTGGCTTATAGGCTGGGGCTGGGGCTATCTGCTCACTCACAGTGGGGTGGTCTTTGCTGGCTGACAGATGGAACCGCAACTGGGGTGTCAGCTGGGACAGTTCTATGTAGCCTTTCCATGTGACCACTTGGCTTCCTCAGAGCATTGTGGCTGGGTTCTCATAACCAATGTCCCAAGAGATGAGAGGCAGAAGCTGCCAGTTTCTTAAGGCCTCAGCCTGAAACCTGGCACAGCTTTATGTCCAGTGTACTCTTTTTGAGTCCCAGGGCCCACATTCAACAACAGGGACATAATCCCACCTCTCAATGGGAGGAATGTTGAAGAATTTTGGGCAGGAGAAGCATTGGAGGAGGGCCAGGCTTGGGGAGAGATCATGAATCCAGATCTGATGGAGAAAAAGGGGGAAAGGACCCTCTCCAAGTGCCGGACATGGTTTTAGCTGCCTTAGAGTCCTGGCCCAGAGCCTGGCATAGGATGATCCTAGCAGCCACAGCAGCCCTTCCCACCATCTTCCACGTCTTCCAGCGTGGGGCAGCCCCTGGAGTCTGGGGTTGGGTGACTATGAAGAGACCCCAGGAGGAAACCCCCCCGGCCCTATGGGGTTCTGGTCCCTACCCCAGGCCCTCCCAAGTCTGTCTGTGGAGGGCATTTTCACAGCGGGGTTGAACAAGCAGGGGCTCTTGAATCCCAATCCTGCCATTCTGTTCCTAAAATATCTCGAATCTGCCCATTACTCTCCCTCCCTCACCTCAGCAAACATGGCCATCTCTGGCCTGGGCCACTGCCTTTTCTCTCCTAACACTCTCCTTGCTTCCACTCCTGCCTCCCTACAAAACATCCTCCACGTGGCTCAGAGGGATTATTTAAACAATCAGTCTGATCACTTAACTCCTCTCTTTAAACCTCTCCAGGATACCCAGGATGTGATCCTAAGTCTAGGTTCTGGGACTGCAAGTTCCTGCACAATCGGGCTTACAGGGCTGATCCTTCAAGAGGCCAGTCTCGTTCCTGCCTCAGGGACTTTGCACTTGACATTTCTCCCCAACTCTTTGTATGACTGACTTCTCCCTGTCCTTCAGGGCTTGACTCATTCCACCTACTCAAAGAGATCTTCCCTGACCACTCTATCTAAAGTAGACCACTCTCCCCCATGTACTTTTTTTTTTTTTTGTCTGCATTGAGTCCTCATTGCTGCGTGCAGGCTTTCTCTGGTTGTGGCGAGCGGGGGCTACTCTTTGTTGTGGCTCACAGGCTTCTCATTGTGGTGGCTTCTCTTGTTGTGGAGCATGGGTTCTAGGCACGTGAGCTTCAGTAGTTGCGGCACATGGGCTCAGTAGTTGCACACGGGCTTTAGGGCACGCGGGCTTCAGTAGTTGTGACTGGCGGGCTGTAGAGCGCAGGCTTAGTAGTTGTGGTGCATGAGCTTTGTTGCTCCATGGCATGTGAGATCTTCTGGACCAGGGATCGAACCCATGTCCACTGCATCAGCAGGTGGATTCTTAACCACTGTGCCATCAGGGAAGTCCCCCATATACTCTTTAAGTCGGCATCCATTTTATTTCCTTCTTAGCACTTAGCACCACTCATTCATTCATTCATTCATTCAAAAAATACTGACCTAGCAGATACTTTGTGCCAGGCACTGTTTTAGGCAGTGGGGGGTAAAGATGTGAACAAAGTTGATGGTTCCTCCTCTTTGCTTTGGAAGGCCCCAGGACTAAGTGTTGACAGAGTGTTGATCTGTCAACACTTGCTGTTTCACGGTCTCACCCAGTCTCGGGCATTAAATGTCACAAATATGGTACACCTGTGGCCCCAATCCGAAATCCCAAAGAGCACATCCAGCTGCCTGCTCACAGCTCCACCTGGGTATCTAATGTGCATCTGGCTCAGGCTTATTGCGTCCAAAGCTGAATTCCTGACTTTCCCCTGTCCCCAGACCTGCTCCTCCCACAATCTTCTCCATCCTTCCACCTGCCAAAAATTCTGGACTGGTCCTGACTCCTCTCTTGTAACCCATCTTCAGCTTTACCTTCAAAATATCCAGGATCCAGCCGCTTCTCTCCATCTCCATTGCCACCACCCTAGCCCAAGCGGACTGTCATCTTCCCTGTACTATGGTAATGGCATCCAAACTGGTCCCAGCTTCCACCCTGGCCCAAGAACAATCTACTCCCTACACAGCAATCTTTAAAAAGGAAAGTTAGGTCACATCACTCCTGAGCTCACACTACAAGGGTCTGTAAGGTCCCACCAGCTCTCAGCCTTCCCTCCCCACTACTCTCCACCCCTCACTCACTCCACCACACTGGCCACCTTGCAGGTCTTCAAACATGCCAGGCCCACGCCGGCCTTAGGACTTCACACTGGCCGCTCCCTCAATTCCTACCTCAAGCCAGGCCTTCCCTGCCCACTGCATTTAACTGGTCAAACCCTCAGCCTCACCCCAGCACCCCCATGCTCTTTCTCTTCTTTTCTTTCCCTCCAAGCACTTATCACCTCCTGACGCACCCTATATTTTACTTATTTATTTTAGTCATCATCTGCTTTCTGGTACTAGAATATAAGGTCCCCAGGGCCTCTTTTACTCACAGCTCTGTTCTCCAGCTCCTGGAGCAGGGCCTGGCTCAGAGCAAGTACCCAGAAGTCAGAGTCACGTGGGAGAATTTTGACCATTAGGTTTAGCGAGGTGAATGTCACTGATTTTGACAAAAGGGACACAGTCTAAGGCATTTTATTTGGTCACTAGTTCATTTGTTAATTGTCTGCTGTCTCCTTCTAGAATAGTAAGTTCTAAAAGAGCAAGGACTTCATGCATCTTGTTTTCTGCTGAATCTCCAGTACCTAGAACAGTACCTGGAACACAGTAGGCACTCAGGAAAAACCGACTGAAAAGAATAGAGGCCAATGACCAGTTACATGACTTTCCCTCTCTGGGTGTCAGTTCTTTCATCAGTAAAGTGGGAATGAAAGTGCCTGCTTTAAGGGATTGATTTTAGGGCTTAATGATGTAGTGTCTGGCACACAGGTGTTCACTCAATATCACCCACCCACCCCCGCTCTGTTCTTAGCACCCCAATCCCACCTGCCTGTCTTCCTCCCCATCCTGAGGCCCGGACAGCAATAATGTTGGTAAATGTTCAATCACACTGTCAGGCACCACACTCAGAGTTATAAAGACACTTCTGGATTTTTTGCAGAACCCAGGCAAAGCTAGGATCCCTGGGATTCTCTTAAGAGAGCACCTGCTGCTCCAGCTGGGATTTTCTCCCAACCCCTTCTCCACACTCTCCCAGCCTTTCCTCTCCAGAAGCTTCAATAGCTGTGCTCCTTGGTACACTCTTAAGAAGGGGAGAGAAAGGAGAGGAGTGGAGCGGCCCATTTTCCTGTGGGGAGAGAGAACAGAAACAAAGAGAGGGCCCCGAGAACTCACAGGTTTAGGGCCTGGGCAGAAAGAGACCCAGGGGCCTGTGCTCTGCCATCCTATGCCCTAAAGGGGGGCTGGCCATGTGACATGGGGTAAAGAATCCATTGTGCTAGAAAGTAGTGGCCCAGTAACCATGCCACCTTCTTCTGGAGACAACACATATGCAGAGAGAGAAACAAAGATGTAGCAAATGTAGGTGAGGATATTTGGGTATTCATTGTGCTAATGTTGCAACTTTTCTGAAGGTTTTGTTCATTGTATTATGTTTGCAACTTTTCTCTATGTTTGAAGTTTTTAAAAATAGTAAGTTGGGGGCAAAATTTTGGGAGGGGGGACAGAGCTGCTAGTGGCTCACCAGTAACCATTCTCCCCTTCTCATACTTTGATTCTAGGAAGTCATAAGCCCAGCAAGATGACCAGAGTTTTCCAGCCTCCCTGCAGCTAGGTGTAGCCAATGAGAAGTAGGCAGAAATTGTTGGCTTCTGGGAAAACTCCATAAGAAAGAGACAGAAAACTGGCAGGTACTCTTTTTACCCTACTTCCCTTCCTCCTGCTTTCTACATAGACATGATGGCTGGAACTGCAGCAGCCACCTTGGGCGTTGAAGGGGCCTTGAAGGTGGAATCCAGGTACTAAGAGTGGTAGAACAGGAAGGTAGGATTCTGGGTCCCTGAGGACTGTGAAGTCATCACACCAACTATGGACTGCCTACTGCAGTAGCACGACTTCTTTAAGTGAAAGAATAAACACCTGCTTTGCCTAAACTTCTGATTAGCAGCCAAATGAACTTCCCACCTGATTCAGATTTCAACCTGTTTTCTGTTCCCTCTACACTCTGGACTTTTCCACCTGCTGGATCATCTGCTGGGAAAGCTCACCAGCACTTGTAAGGTCTTTCTCATCTTTCAAAACCCAGCTTGAATGTCACTTTCTCCTGGAGGCTTTCCCTAGGTACCTCTTCCCTCGTGGACTCCCAGCACCTCCTACGGCTGCTGTTAAAACTCCCCCACAGCCTGCTTGCTGACCATCCGAGGATTTTTTACTACTCATTGCTTTGGCTTCCCTGTAACGTTTTGTCCTCTCATCCCTTGGTTTCCCTGTCACCGCTCTCTCCAGTTTCTCCTCCTCTCTGTGCTGCTCCTTCTCAGCCTTTCCCTGGGCTCTTCTGCCCCTGGCAACTCAGGAAGTTTGCAGTAAGTCAGGATTCTGTTCCAGCCCCTCCATTCTTTTCACTCTACCTGTTCCCCTGGGCAACTGCATCCTCCAGCCACCACCTCTATGCAAATGACTACAAATCCAATGGTGTACTGGGCTGGCTTGGACCAGCTCCTGAGAACAAAGTTTCAGGAATTTTGTGAGCCAGGTGTTAAGGCCATTATTAAAAATTAAGTTATATAAATTTATGATTATATAAATATGTTCAAAACAAAGATAATAAACACTCAGAACATAACTTCCTCGTTATTTTACTATTATCTATGCTTTTAAGATTATTTTTTATCTATTTTATCTGAATGGTGGAAATGCTCAGAGACATCACAGTGACAGCTTGAAATCAACCACAGCAGGAGAATTTACACTACGGGTATGGGCAAACTCTACAAATCAAGGTGCTTCCCTGCCTGGAAAGCCATGTATTAAAGATTTCCCACTATACCATGGCCCAAATCGATACCTGAAGCCAGCCTGGAGTGACTTCCTGAGCTCCAGGCTCAGATATCCAACTCTCAGCTGGACGCCTCGTCCAGCTAGTCTATCAGGCACTGCATATTCAGTGTGCCCCAGACAAACTCACCATCACCCCCCAAAGCTGCCCCATCCCCTCAATGCCTATTTCATTTTGCAACAGCATCACTCACCCCATTGTCCAAGCCAGAAACCTGGCAATCTTCCTGGACTTGTCTCACTCCCTCCTCCCCAACATCTAATAAGTTATGTGCTCAGTGATGCTCATGTCTCCCCTCCAGTCCTGTTCCAGCCTCACCGAGGCTTCCCTGGTTCAGGCTTCATCATTCCTCCAGTGGATTCTGCCCCAGCCTCCTCACTGCTCTTGCTGATTCTAGCAGTGTCCCCCTCCAACCCACCTCCATTTGGGCCCCATAAAATGCAAGTCTCATTTCGTTCTCTTTCGTACTTAAAATCCTTCAGTGACTTCCCAATTCCTAAAATAGGGAGTACAGACACCCTTCGTATGGTCTCCTTTCTCTCTTCCTCCTCTCTCCTCCCTACTGCTTGGTCCTTCCTCATCTGACATTCAGGGGATCTTAGTCAAGAGTCACGAACATCACTTCTGGCTTATTTAAACAGATAAGGAGTTTATTATCCAACAGTGGGCAGCTCAGAAACTCTCCTGGAAAGCCAGAGTCGCCTTGGAGACCATGCAGCCTGGAATGATGGCCAGATCACATTGTCAAGCAGCCCCAGGAAGACTCCCCAGATGCTACAGCTGAGTACAGACAGTACAGCTTGCCCTATTGGTGATTGATGCTTCCAAAAGCAGTGCTGCCCCTGGTCCCTGGCAGGAACTGCCACCACCATCACCACCACCTGTCTTCACCAGAGCAAACTCTCCTCCTTCCCTGCTTCTTCCTGGCACTAGGTTCAGGTTCCAAGTCTGGGGCTGAGGTCACATGTCCTGGCAGCAAGCAAAGCTGGGAAAGCATCGTCAGCTCCTGGAGTGGGGAGATGGGCTCTGCCTCATAAGGTGCGGGATCCCCCAGACATAGGAAGGAGACAGTTTCAATGATGAGAGGCCATGCTCTTCCCCATGCCAGCTTTTAAAATTACACAAGTAAAATACTATTCAAGGTAAAGTAATCAAACAGCACAAGAAGGAAGGTAATGAAACGTACAAGCTTCTCTCCCTGAGTTCTCTCAATCCCATTTGCCAGGGGCAACTACTGTTAACAGTGTTTTGGGAGTCCTTGCAGGTGTGTTCTTTGTATATCCAGATGTCTATATTTATATATAAGGTGTCTATATATAACTGTGTGAGTGTATGTATTTTGCTTGTATCAAAATTGACTAGCTCCACAAGAAAAGGGAACCCTCCTACACTGTCAGTGAGAATGTAAACTGGTGCAGCCACTATGGAAAACAGTATGGATCTTCCTCAAAAAACTAAAAATAGAGTCGCCATATGATCCAGCAATTCCATTCCTAGGCATATAGTGGGAGAAAACTATAATTCGAAAAGATACATGCACCCCAATGTTCATAGCAGCACTATTTACATTATCCAAGACATGGAAACAACCTAAATGTCCACTGACAGATGAATGGACAAAGAAGATGTAGTACATGTATACAGTGGAATATTACTCAGCCATAAAAAAGAATGAAATAGTGCTGTTTGCAGCAACACGGATGGACCAGGAGATTATCATACGAAGTAAAGTCAGAAAGAGAAAGACAACTACCATATGATATCACTCACGTGTGGAATCTAAAATATAACACAAATGAACTTATCTATGAAAAAGAAACAGACTCACAGACATAGAGAACAGACTTGTGGTTGCCAAGGGGGCAGGGGGTGAGGGAGGGATGGATTGGGAGTTTGGGGTTAGCAGATACAAACTATTATATATAGAATGGATAAACCACAAGGTCCTACTGTATAGCACAGGGAACTATATTCAGTATCCTGTGATAAAC